CACCTAATTAGGTGTCAGACTGAAGAAGTCTCTTGGAGGAGAGACGAAACGTTTCATTAGAGAAGAACCCGTCCAGAAGACCTATACAATTTTTGTCTTTTTGATTGATTATAACCTAATTTAAAATGTATCTACAAAAAAGAAAAAAACTAACTTGTAACTAAATGTCTGCTTGTGGTTTAAGAGTCAACAGCTTGCGGTTCAGTTCCCATCCTGCAGGGAGCAAAGAAAGAGAAACACCTGAGGATCGTGGGAGGAACTGAGTGTCCAAAAGGTGAATGTCCGTGGCAGGTAGGTGGAAGTTCATGGTTGTTTCTGTATTTTACGGGTTTATCATTAACTAACAGACTAGAGAGAAGAGCTAGTATAAAGGCATGTTTTTAGGATCTGAAATGCTAATGAAGGTGGAGGAACTTTTACTCATAACAAGAACATTTAACTGAGTTTTTCTTGTTGTGGTGGTTGTTTAAAGGTTCTACTGGTGGATAAAGGTAAAGGGTTCTGTGGAGGAGTAATTTATAAACCAACATGGATCCTCACAGCTTCTCACTGCCTGGAGAATACTGAAGCACGATTCCTAAAAGTTATTGCAGGTACACATCCCTCAGATTCTCTAAACCCACAACTATAGGAACTCTGAAGTGTTAAATTAATAATTAACATCTGATGGCTCAAACGTTTCTCTGTAAATTACTTTTAAATCTTTAAAACTGTTTCCCCACTTTTTTCAGGTGAACACAACATAAATGTTAACGAATCCACAGAGCAGGTTGTTCAGGTGGTTCAGATCATCATGCATGAAAACTACGTAGCAAGTAATGTGGACAACGACATCGCCCTCCTCCGGTTAGCCTCTCCGATAGTCTACTCCTTGTACATCGTCCCGGTCTGCCTGCCAACAAGATCGCTGGCTGAACGTGAGCTGTGGGCAGTGGAGTGGCACACTGTGAGTGGCTGGGGCAAGCGGAGCGAGAATGGGCCCACCTCGGTCCTCCTCAGGCACACCAAGGTGCCGCGAATACGAACCCAGACCTGCGTGGAGGAGAGCAGAGTGGCTCTCACCAAGAACATGTTCTGTGCCGGATACCTTGACGGGAGGACGGACTCGTGTAAAGGCGACAGCGGTGGACCGCTGGTGACAGAGTACAAGAAGACCGTCTTCCTGCTGGGCATTGTCAGCTGGGGAAAGGGCTGTGCCCGACCGGGCAACTATGGCATTTATACGCGAGTGTCCAACTACTTGGAGTGGATTCAGAACCGAACAGAAACCCCAAAGCTGCCTGAAAATACCCCAAAGCCTGCACTGACCAACTTGACCAACTTGAAGGAAGCCGGTGCTGCTTAGAACCATTGATTAATATCTAATAATGACATTTTTAAGTAATTTCATTTCCTACATATAACAAAAAACTCAGATTAAAGCTTTAATAAAATATTTATGTTGTAAAATTGAGTTTTGTTCCTTTAGCTGCACCAAAATAGCAGCTGTTTACATGGAGGTCCTGGAAAAACCAGAAGAAAATATGTTAGTTCATCATAAGAGAAAAGGTTTCTGGTTGTTTAGGTTAGTTTGTTGAAAAAAAGTTGAACTTTAAAAACAGAATATTTAACAATTTTTGAATGAACCCCCCCCCGCACCCCGCCCAAAAATAAAAAATAAAAAACACAGCTAACTAAAAGTTTAGCTTTGCCAACTCAGAATCCACTAACTGAAAATTTGCAAATGGTAAACCGCTAAAGGTGTAAAAAATTATTAGCAGAAGTTAATGCAAAACATATAAAAAATTTGAGGAAGCCAACACTAGCAGCTAATCATTATTTGCTAAAATGCCTTTCAGTCTGCGTCAGGTCTTCATCTCCTTTGAACTGAAGACTGGTGGGACCGACACAAACCTGTTGATTGTAGTTTATTACGTAGCTGTTAGCAGACTTAATAAAACCTGACGCAAAAGAAGCTAATTAGTCCACTAATGATTTTCAAAGTGAAAAAGGTAGACAAAAAATTGTTTCACTGTTAACTGTTTAGCAAAAAATTCCCACCCCTGCAACTAATCTATTATCTGAAGTACAAATTATACAAGTTCAAGTGAATATCTCAAATTTAAATAAAATCTATGACAGTGTTTTAGGGTCACTCAAAAAAATTGTGATTTTTTTTTGTTTGTTTTAAGATTAAAGTCAAAAAAACGAGAAGACATAACCATGTGTCTAGAAAGTTCCTCAAACTTTGTGGGGTTGTGTATTTTCTTGCGTTACTCACAGATACTAACAGCAGTGTTGTAATACTCGAGACCAGTTTTGGTCTTGAGATCCCTTTTTGATGGTCTCAGTATTGTCTCAGATTCGACCGCATTTGTACTCAGTCTTGTCTCGGCCTATAGGACGTTGAGGACTCGGGATTTTACTTCAAGACCAGTCAAAACCCTAACTGTGGATGTCAAACGTATTTGTTAAAGGGGCAACATTATGTGTTTATCAGACATACACTCACCGGCCACTTTATTAGGTACACCACGCTAGTAACGGGTTGGACCCCCTTTTGCCTTCAGAACAGCCTCAATTCTTCGTGGCATAGATTCAACAAGGTGCTGGAAGCATTCCTCAGAGATTTTGGTCCATATTGACATGATGGCATCACACAGTTGCCGCAGATTTGTCAGCTGCACATCCATGATGCGAATCTTCTATTGTCCCAATTTTGATGAGCTTGTGCAAATTG